GCTGGAAGCACAGAGCCAGTGCCTGGAGAAAATATATTTGAATTGTGGTTTGAAATATCTAAGAAAATATTACAGAAAGAGGCTGTCTTAGAGATGTAAAAAACAAAGAATTATCAAGAGTTTAGCCAATAGTAGTACATGAATGGATTTAGGTCATAGATTGAGTCTGAATTAATGGAGAATGGTAGGAAATTTATTGCAAGCTCCAAACCACCTGCAAAAAGTAGGCAGAAAGACTTCTAATTAAGGAAAGAATGGAATACAATGCAGACAACCCTGTCTCTACTAAAAACAAAATTAGCCAGGCGTAGTGGCATGTACCTGTAATCCCAGCTACTCGGGAGGCTGAGGCAGGAGAACCTCTTGAACCTGAGAGGTGGAGGTTACAGTGAGCCAAGATCTTGTCACTGTACTCCAGCCTGGTGTTAAATTGTCAAAAGGAAGCATTTACAGTCAAACACTGGTTCCTAACCTCAAGCTCTGTAATGCACCTCAGGTCTCAGAAATCCAGGGTTCTTCTGCTTAAGCACTTAATTTTAAAAGAAAAGTAAAAATCTGAGGTGATCAAGAAGAATTAAAGGCCAATAATACTCAGTCTATTCAGAGGCTAAGCTTGAATTCTGTGACCAATACAGAAAGAAACTGAGGTACTAGTGAGTGCTCTGAGGCAGTGGGCATCAGTAGAAGGAGAGGTGGCAGTAGACACTATCAGTGCTCACCGTGATCCTAAGATCCCTTCCTACACTGACCCGTGCTCACAGAGGCTTATACCTACCAGGAAGCTAAATCCTGACTGATATCTCCAAGTTCTTTGGTATGAAATGCCCCCCTAGCCCCGGGGCTCTTGGCCTTATCCACAAGGACAACTGGCATTATAGGCAGAATACAGGTATAAACTGAGAAAGTTATGCCACATGCTCTCTCACATGACATCATTTCCCAGACACTACCACCAGTTTCTGATTAATGTTGCATAACCACAACATATGTAACTATTGGGTTGAGAAGGACTACTCATGTGAGAGCTTCATTGTGGTTAGCAAGGTAGCTATGGGACACAGCAGAAATGACTCCCATAACCAATCGAAATTTGCCCCCAAGAGGAGGGAAGGCTCATTATCTCCCTCTGGAAAGACTCAAACAGTTCCATAAGGGGCAGAAGTAGAACCAGTAACAGGACCAATTATGCTCCTGCATCTGTGCTCTTTCTGAATCTTAGCATCCCAAAAGCTAAAATAATAAAAAAGACTTTCAATAGTATAACTCAAGGTTTGGAAGCAGCTTGCTCACTCAACCTAATAAGGGATAAGATTAAAGAGAGCAAGGAGTAACTCTGCAATTCTAAAGGTGCTGTTCTTATATGTTCCCTCTAGAAGACCTACCACAGACAGAATCTGTCCCAGCTGCACAGAGCAGGGAATGGCTGATATGGTTTACCTCTGTGTCCCCACACAAATTTCACTTTGAATTGTAATAATCCTCATATGTCAATGGCAGGGCCAGGTGGAGATAATTAAATCATTGGGGCAGTTTTCCCAATACTGTTCTCATGGTAGTGAATAAGTCTCACAAGATCTGATGGTTTTATAAACGGGAGTTCTCCTGCATAAACTCTCTTGTCTGCCACCATGTAAGACATGCCTCTTCTTCTCTTTTGCCTTCCACCATGATTATGAGGCCACCCTAGCCATGTGGAACTGTGAGACCATTAAACCTCTTTCCTGGCTAGGTGTGGTGGCTCACACCCGTAATCCTAGCACTTTGGGAGGCCAAGGCAGGCAGATTACTTCAGGTCAGGAGTTCAAGACCAGCCTTGCCAACGGTGGAACCCCGTCTCTACTAAAAACAAAATTAGCCAGGCGTAGTGGCATGCACCTATAATCCCAACTACTCGGGAGGCTAAGGCAGGAGAACTTCTTGAACCGGAGAGGTGGAGGTTGCAGCGAGCCAAGATTGTGCCACTGCACTCTGGCCTGGTGACAGAGTGAGACTCCTTCTCAAAAAAAGAAAAAAAAATATTTCCTTTATAAATTACTCAGTCTCAGGTATGTCTTTACTAGCAGCATGAGAACAGACTAATATAATGGCTAACAATTCAAAATGAAGATAAGACCAAGAGGGAAAAGAACCAGAAGAGGGGAAGGTATATGAACTAAAAGGTTAAATGTATCAAAAGGTCTTAGGTGAAAAAACCAGGCTGGAAGGCAACAGAGACTTTTCATCAATATCCTTTTGTCCCTTCTGAAATGTGTAACAAGTACAAATATTACTTGTTCAAAACGCAGACATAAAGCGTAAAGTAAAATGAAATCATGTGAGTGTACCATTACCTGAGAATAAAAATGTATAAAACCAATAGCTCCTTGGGTAGCAGAGTGAGAGAGCTGGAGACAACTAGTGTGTGAAAACAAAATAATAATGCACACATTAAAGAACCACAGGAATAGATAATGCAAAACTCGATGATGTACTGCTGAACTGTAAACTACATAACAGTACAAAAATTACTTTGTTTCCTATATGCAAGTCTTCCTTTGAAAATAAACATTATCTGTTTAATAATTCATTGCTATGCAAGACATTAATGATACCATCACAGTAAAATTTTCAGACAAGTATCAAAAACCATTAATAATGTTAAAAACTGAATTTGTGCCCCTTAAATGTATACAAATAAAATTTTTTTAAAAAGAAAATAACCTGTTAAAAATGTATTATTTTTATCATTTTATTACTTACTATCAGGTTTTTTGATCATATAAATGTTTGGTTTCTGAAGAACTTTCACAGTCGAAGAATTAACTGCTGAGAAAATTAACACCTTATAGAAAAATTGAAAGCCATTAAGATGTTCAAGTTCATAAAAGTAAATAAAACAGTAGGCTAAATTCAAACAATATCAATAACATTTGTCACTTAAAAATTATCATGAGGACTATATTATTAATTTCCATTTTCCATCACTTGCACTGAAGAAACCTTTCAGAATCCTTTCTCAGGCACCTTCACTCCCCATCCGCACAGTTTCAACAATACAGGTGATGCTTAAAAATGTATTTTGCTTACAGATAATACACAGAGTTTTATGTGTCAACTTGGATAGGCTATAGTACCCAATTATTTAACCAAACACTGATATAGGAGTAGCTGTAAAGGTATTTTTTAGATGCAGTTAACATCTACAATCAGTTTACTGTAAGTAAAGGAGATGACCCTCCACAATGTGTGAGGCCCTCATCCATTTAGTCACAGCCCTTAAAGCAAAACAAGGTATCCTGGAGAAGAAGTTTTGCCTCAAGACAGCAGCATCACCTTCTGCCTGAGTTTCCAGCCTCAGGACCTGCCCAACAGATTTCAGACTTGCTAGCACCACAATAACATAATACCTTAAAATAAACAAATACACATATATACATATATATATCCTCCTTGGTTCTATTTCTCTGAAGACCCTTCCTGATACATGCACAGAGAGACTTTCTATGTGTAGTTCCTTACTCCAGTTTTCCAACCCTTTCTGATTGTATAATCTCTACTTCCTACTTGTACCTCAGCTCTTAACCTCCTCATAGAAACCATCAAAGAGTCTTGTGTCACATTACAATGTTTCAGTCAACAGTGAACCATATACACAATGGTGGTTTCTTATGATTATAATATTATATTCTTACTGTACTATTTCTGTATTTAAACCTTTTTTAATTTCATTTTTTAGAGAAGGGGTCTCCTTCTGTTGCCCAGGCTGGAGTGCAGTGGCAAGATCACAGTTCATTGCAGCCTTGCTCTTGGCTCAGGCAATCCTCCCACCTCAGCCTCATGAGTAGATGGAACTACAGGCATGTGCCACAAGGCCCAGCTAAATTTTTATATATATATACGTATATATATATATATATATATACACACACATATATATATGTATATATATATATATATGTATATATATATATAAAATAAGTATATAAAATATATATTAAAATATATATATATATTTTAGAGATGGGGTTGCTATGTTGTTCAGGCTGGGCTCCAACTCCTGGCCTCAAGTAATCCTCCTGCCTTAGCCTCCTGAGTAGCTGGAATTAGGCACAAGCCACTGTGCCTGGCTTATTTAGAATACGTTGGATACACAAATACTTGCCACTGTCTTCCAATTGCCTCCATTATTCAATACAGTAACATGCTATAAAGGTTTATAGCCCAGGAGCAATAGGCTCTACCATACAGCTTAGGAGTGGGGTGGGCTATACCATCTAGGCTTGTACAAATATGCTCTATGATGTTCACTTGATGATGCATTTCTTAGAAGAAACCCCTGTCATTAATCAACACATGAATATATAATTCCTGGGACTGAGTTTTCCAAATTTTTGTTTCAACAGACTACACTGCTGCTTTCCTACTTTGATCACTTGGGCCCTTTTTCCAATACTTAAAAAAGAACAGCAACAAATATAATTGGCATAAACTAGGATGAAAATTCTTATAAAATGAAGACATATAATGGCATTTACAGATCTCTGCATAAGTGAAACTTTAGACTGCAAAAGACTGTCTACTGTTACAGCTCCTTGACTGTGTTTTTAAAGGTAAGGTACATTTTAAGGCAAGATTTTTTGTTACAGCATAAAACTGAAAATTGTTTCTATATAATTAGAACTTCAACTAGTAAATAAAAAAATATTAAGTATAATTTTATTTACAAAAGTCAAATTCTAAATTCAGGACATGCTTATTTTGAAATTCAAACATCATTACACAGGAAAAACATATTTTGCAATGATGAACTTCAGAGCTCTAAAACAACTGTCTCGTGAGATATTTCAACAGTCTTTCTAAAAAAAAAAAAAAAGCTAAACTTTCCTTAAAAATTGAAACATTTCAATACTTAAATACTTAACTACAATCTAATTGATATTGATTCCAGACTTAAAAATGCATTAAATGCATTAAATGATACAAAAGAAATATAATTTAACATTAAAATATCATATCCTCACCTCCCACATTAACCTGTAATCCATATTTTCATCCAAGTCTTCAGGCATTCTCTTCTCTCCAGCAAAGGGTCCGAACTTTTCACCCTGAGTAACAATGGTTATATTGAAAAAAGATTAGTACAATAAATCAACATACTAAAATAAACTATTTTTTCTTCTGGAATGTTTTTCTGCAAATCTTCATGCCCAATGAAGAGACATTTTAAAATATCAACTAATTTACCCAACACAAAATGTTTACATATTTACGATCCAACTTAATCTGTTTTTAGCCTAAAACGCTCACTCCACAACATAGGAGCCAACATAAAGGGTTCAATCACTTAACTTGCAAATTCTAACAAGGTACTGGACACTGTATTTCATATGTATCAATCCTCTTCATAGCTTCTGGCAAGAGGTCTTGAAAAAAGCACTGAGTTTTGTCTGACTTGAGAGACAAGCCCACCGGCAGAAAATCACCTGGTTTCCATAAAAATCATAAATTCATCCCTATTATGGGCAAGAAAGAAGGGGGCTTGCCATTCTCAAAGGAAGAGTGTTCATAAATAAACTTTAAATTTGCCTGCCATCTTTCAAACAGGCAAATTGGCACACTTTAAACCAGGCTTTCTTGAAGTGTGTGCTTTGAAGCCCACCTGCACGAGAAACACCAGTGCTGCCAGTTTGAGATGCAGAATTCTGGTCTTTGTTAAAATCAGAATCTGAAAGTAAGCTGTCCTTCAGTCTACCCTGAAGGGACTTTTAAGGACATGTTCAATGGGCAAGTAACACTCTCTCTAAAGTGAAGAAAGCAGGGACTGCAGAGAAAGTGGAAATGAGTTGAATTTGTCCAACCAGACATTTTATTGAAATGTGTGCAAAGGAGACACACAGCCACTTGTGCTTCTAAACCTGCCTATGACTATTTTTCAGCACAATCCTCCCCTTTTCATGGAGGTGATGAAAGAAAAAAAGCCAACAAAATCTCTTTTGATGAACATTGTAAGGAGAAAAGATAACCACCAAGGCAATGTTTCAAGGATATAAATTACTAAATATACAGCAGAACACCCAACTCCTGAGAAAAGTAAAATTTTAAAGCTTAAAGAAATTACAAATATTAATAGTTAAACCAGCCCCCTCATTTTATAGATGAAGAAGCCATAAATATTGGCAGAGCCAGGAAGACCATTTCTTTAATGTTAACTTAGAGGAAGAAAATACCCACAGAAATTCTTCAAACCAAGACTATAATTGTAAGTAACTTAAACACAGGCAGAGCAAAGAAACAGGGAGATTTCTGACTATTCATAACATTAGAGATACTAATACAAAGTTTAGACAGCCAATGTCAGAGAAGCCTGCTCTGCTTCACAATCCTGTAATGCCTCACTAGTCCCTTCATGCTAAAATGGGCATTCAACATCACACTCAAACACAACAGCCCCAAAGAGTCTTTCTTTACAAAGTAATCACTTCTCTCCTCCAGGTGGCACCTAACCAGGATTTGATGTCAGGTAGGAAAAGCTCCACAAGAACAGGGGAAAAGAGTTAACACTTACTGAACTACAATGTGCCACGCTCCAAATAATCCTATGTGGAGTTTCCCCATTTAACAACTAAGAAAATTGAGGCCCAGAGTTTAAATAGCTTGTTTGCTTAAGGTCAATCAGCTGGCGATGAACAGACATAGCAGCTAGTGCTCGACTTACGACCATGGTCGGGACCGCGGACAGGTCGTAACACGATTTGGTCGTAAGTTGAGTAGGCTATATGTACAGTTGAAATGGTGTACGCGGAGATGGTAGTGCTGCCGGAAGCTGGTCCGCACTGTCGTACGCCCAGCTGGGCAACGTTTGCGCTGCCAGACGCGGAGCAGTCGTGACTAGCGAGTGTGGTCGTAAAGTCGAATGGTCGTTAAGTTGCATAGGTGGTAAGTCGATCAATACCTGTATCAGGAACCAGTGGCTTATTCTGAGTGAAGAGCTCAGGCACCACCCACTTCACCAAGCCAACACTCAGAACGCTGACAGACAGCTGCATGGTCCACTGCTGAGGCCACCTGATGCCACCTCCTCAGCTTTCCACTGACTACAATTTAGCAATGACCGGGGCCGTGCAATTGCCATGTACACACTCAATACACTGACTACTGAATTGAAGAAACTGAGTTTATGTTAAAGCCAATCTAGAAAACAGATTTTAAAAAAATAAGGTTATTCTGTAATAAATTTGAGGGTTAAGTATGAATGGATGAGGTTCAATTTTTGGTCCACTCTCATGTATTTAGCCTTTATCAAGTGTTACAGAAAGTAATAATAATCTAAGTTCACACTTTCTGATGTAACTGATCTATCTAAACCACTCAGTTCCTCTTTGCAGTATAAATTTGGACGGGAAAAAAGTGAATCTATCAATTCCACAGTGTTCAGAAGACTAAAGAGGAAAGAATGGCAACTCAAATAAATGTACTGGGATCGGGGGGAAAAACGCCTGCTTGGATGCAGACCTAGTAAGATTGCTAAAGGACTTAAAGCTGTGAAAATTCAGATTAACCAGAATGCTGATTTTAAAGCTTCACCATTAATAGAGAACAATCACTCTCTATTGTAAACTCAAACCACCAAATTATAATAGTCGTTTTTAGCTTTTTACCTCAACTCTTAGTAAGAAATATATTTTGTATCTTAACCTAGCACATTCATACATACACAGAAACACATACCTATAAAACTAAGATACTTAATATTTCAAGAATAACCTTTAAAGACAAAAAAAAAAAAAAAAAACCCTGTGATTACTGAGATCCAGCTCAGCCATAGAGACCCCCACCCAGGCGGCACTGAAGAAACTGAGAAGCAAACACCCAGATAGAAAAAAATGGGTGTAACCAAGGGGCCAGCAGTCTTCCAAGCTGAGAGCCTCAGGGAGCTGACGCTGACCCACGCACTTAGTCTCTCTGAACAGGTGTTAATTATTAACAAACAGATGTTCGGTATTTTCTCAAAACACAAAAATAAACCAGGTAGGCAGCTGGTGCCCACTTACCACTGATCACAGACAAGCTAAAAAATATTCCCTATGAGGGAGCCACAGGGGCAGGGTCAGATGTACCGCACTTAAAGAATTGTTTTAACCAGTGTATGATATTTATATATAATCCTGACACTTTAGAATGCCACAAGTAGTTTTCTACTTGGGGATGGTGAGGGCAGCTAGGTTTTCCTTGACATCATTCTTCCTAGCAAACAATATATTCTATCATTTCTCAACGTGACACTGTATAAATTTCTTCAGACAATGCATTTACTCTGTATAATGTACTCTCATATTTTCTACTCTGTGTTACTTCATATGTTTAAAAAAAAGTTTTGACCCACTAAATTAATTACAGAACTCGCTGACGGGCAGCAATCTACAGTTTGAAAAACAATGACATAAAAACACTGATAGGGGAGGTCAATTAGCTTTCCGTCTTTGATGACATTTCTTCAAAGTACATTACTAGGTGTATTAGAAAACGTTCATCAAATAAACTTAAGTTTCTGTGGCTGCAAGATTATAAAGAGATAAATAACCAACTCTCAATTATCCATACTACTTGTGGTGAGAAACAATGCAGATATTGAAAACCTAATTTACATTTGACTTTAGATGAAGATTTTATATTGAGTAGACCCACTCTTAGGAAGCCTTCCCTTAGCGATTCCAGCACCAGCAACCCAACCCTTCTCTCTCTCTTTCTTCACTGTCGTCTCTATCATACAAACAGTACTTTCTTAAAATTGTAATTACAATTTTATTTTTATTCACTAACCACATTTCCTAGAGAGATTCTAACATCAACATAAGCCTCTTTTATCTTAATAGGCTTCAAATCTGCTTGGGCAGCACATCTATGAAAGGGAAGTTTGGGGCACACACCACATACATATGTAATTCTTTTTCTTTTAGTGGAATTATATGAAATCGCCAATATTTGACCACTTTTGACCTACCTAAAAAAGTAAAAGTTTTTCATATGATTCATCATAAATGAAGTATATACATGTGCTTTAGTAAATTAAACACCTAAGAGAAGGTTCAAAATGAATGACAGGAAGGAAACCCAACTCTTCTTGACACCTTCAAAAATTTCTGGCTGACTTCTTGATATCATTGGTTTTACTTTTCGTGATAAACCTGCTAAAGATCTCATACTAGCAGACAGGAAAACTGTCAGCTCATCTATTTTCTTGCTGTTAATTTGTGCCTACATTATTGATGTTACCTTTGATCTGTGATTTCTTTGCCAAAACTTTCCTAGAATTCTTCACTTCTATCTCAAGAGTCACCACCTCAAACACTTACAAGATAGGCAGTAAGGCAGCACAACACCAGATATCCAACAATAAACATGTATATGATACATTAGAGAGTAGCCAGGAGGTAAGGTGGAAAGGACATGCCACCTAAAACCATTTTCTACTCCAATTGAATGTTACTATATCACCATGTGGATCCAATGTTGCCAGATATATACAACATTTTTAAAGAAGCTGATAACTCAAATTTGTGTGTGAAATCACTTATTTTTTTATATTGGCAATGAATTCCAAGAATTTAACACTTTGTGCAGGTCAAATAAAATATGACTTCAAGACACACTGACATCAAACTGAGTCAAACTCACTTCTCAGACTGATCCAATGCCCAGCCCATAATGGAGCTTCTTTGTTTTTATTCAAACTGTTTCTGAATAAAGCAGATAATTAATCCATTCGATCTGCTGCTCACTGGACTAGACAGTAACTTTTAATAAACAAAAACTGTATGATTGCGAAAATGTGGGCCATTTTCTCTCATTTTGCTGAATGTTATTAGTAAGAAGTTGAAAACAAGATTCACTGCAGATATCTCTTTCAGAATTGTGGGAAAAAGCACTATCTTCTAGGCCTCCTGTTTCCTTATCTACAAAACTTAGGGATTTGGATTAGTTGATTCTAATATTCCTTCCAGCTTTTAAATTCCAATAGAAAGAGCTTCCACTGACCAAACTTAGAACAATTTGAGACTCAAAGGGGAAAAAAGTATAACTGATTGAAACACATTAACAAATTCTG